TGCTATATTGTATCCCAAATTATGAATGTTCTACTTGTAAATTTCTCCCTTTGAATATGGAATATATAAATCATTTCAGATCTTTCTTGTTACAATCAGTGGCTCAACAAATGTTCTCATAAATAACATATCTATAGAATAAATTCTGAATAAGTTTACTGATCAGAGAGACTGCATTATACATTTTGATAGGTTACTGATAATTTGCTTGCCACAGGAAGGAAGTAAATAAGACTCCTTGGGTCTAGAGAGAGTACTCAGCAGTTAAGAGTGCCATCAGCTTTTGCAGAGGACCATGGCTTAGTTCCCAGCACCCACATTGGGCAGCTCACAGCTACCTGTAACTCCAGCTCCAGGAATTTCAGTAACACCTCCTGTACATTGCAGGACTCTGGAGACACACACACACACACACACACACACACACACACACACTCATTCACATGCACATGCACACACTCACACATGCACATACTCATACGTGTTCACACACGTATACACACAGAGACACACACATGTATGCACATGTACTCATACATGTGTGCACATATGCACACACACACATGTACACACATGCACACACATACACACCTAAAAATAAATCTTTAAAGAGAAAAATGAAATTTGACTACACCATCATCATGAATGCAGGTTATTATCACATTTTAATTTATTCACATTGTTATGTAAAAATCGGCATCTCATTATTTGGTTGGGCTTTATTAATTTTGTAAAGTTGAGTATCCTTTTATATGTTTTTAATAAAGTCCTCTCTTATTTTGTGTTGAAAAATTTATTCCTGGTAATATCACCAGTGCAAGCATCTTACCTAGCTGTTTACAAAAGTAGGAACTGATGATAAGCTAAAGTTCTACAGTTTTCTCCAGCTTAACCATTTGATTTTTCTAGTATCTAATTCATGAAAAAATATTTGTTAAACATGTATTATTTACAGAACAATGACACTCTTTGAAAGTCAGACTTTATTAGATGAGGAAATACCATTAACTCTCCATTTGTGAGGCTGTTCATTAAGGCACAGAATTAGTGTCTTAGTATTAAACCATTGCTTCCCCATGAGTACACACCCCTCCATAATTTTTCCAAACTACAATGAATTAGCCTCAACTACCTATTGGCTATACAAGTGAAAGTGATATAACTAAAAAGGTCTCTACTTGGGGCAGCCTCCAGTTAAATGGTCACTTCTGCCTCAGAAGATGTCAATGTCTGACCTAGATTCAGCCAGCAAAGGAAGTACAGAGGCTAGCACTCTTGCGCTGAGATGACATGTAATCTAGTGCCTGCTGGAAGTTCCAGCCCATCTTTGTTTTTTCCTTAGTTGGTTGGTTCATTTATCATTTATATTGGGCTGAAAGGCTCATAGCTATGGTCCATTACTTATTGGTTAGTCCAAGTACCTGATGAAATTTCTTCTTCAAATGCTAGCAAGCAGGAAGTGGGGGAGGGCATAGCCTGTGAGTGGCCTTTAGACACAGACAGCGTGGACTCCACTTCCAGGTGTCTAGAGTCCAAGCCTGCTAGCACAAATGAGCACAGGAAGCAGAATCAACTTTCTAAGTGGTAGAGTGTTTGTGATGATGGGTCTACTTTCAATCCCTTTCTCTTCATTGCAATATCTTTGTATTAAGATATAGGGCAATTTCTTTGAGCACAAAGATGTTTTAATCGATAGTGTTAACCACAGAGCTCTTGGATATGCATGTAGGCAATCCCAACACTTGAAGGCTTGCTAGAATATGGAATAAGAGAATGTAGGCAAGCTTTACTCTACATGATAACACAGGAGTATAGAATGACAGCACAGAGTGAAACTGCAAAATGATCTTAATAACTGAGAAAAATCTATGTCCAAACATCTCTGTCAAAATCCTAAATATAAAAACTCTCTACTTATTGTAGATAGGAATAAAGCCAATAAGGCCAATGTTCACTTATTATATTGTAGAATTTTAGAAATAAGAAGATAGCCAAGTTGGTAGTGGTGTTACTGTTGGTAAACATTTACCAAGGCTGGTTTACATAGTCTTGTCTTCTTGCCCTAGCAGTTACCTCATGGAGTGAAGGTCAGTCTTGTGCCTGGTACATTCTCCCACTGGTTGCTACATTTTCATCTGCTTCCAGTATCGTATTGGTGTGCTTTCTGTGTCATGATTTCTATGTCTTAGATTTCTCTGCAGGCAACCTTTCTTGCATCATTTCCCATTGGCTCCTTGCCAGCAGGTCCAGGTGAGAGGAGAGAGGTCCCATTGGATCTCTCTCCAAGGCTGAGCAAGATGGCGAGTGTCGACTGCCCAAAAGAAACACACTGGTCAGGAGTCTTGTTGAAGCAGGAACTCACCTTTACTGCATCAGCCTCTTGCTTATATAAACTCGGAGCACAGGGAGGGGGATTTTTGGTGGAGTGAGATGATGTAGGAGGAGGGGAAGGGTGATGGGGGGAATGGGGTGACTGACAGGGCCAATGACAAAGCTCTACATTAGCAGTGGCGGGTCAGAGGCAGGACCAAACAGGTCTTGATGAGTCACCCCATATAGAAGTGACTGAGATAGATCTCAAACCTCGAGCCAGGCTTAGGCTTTCCCACAAGGCTGCAGAAACTCAAGCTAGGCTCGGGTTTGTCCACAAGGTCCAAACCAGGGCCAGAATGGGGCCCAACAATTTCCATCATTCTGGTCCAACCCCTTCATTTGTCAAATTTGCCTCCACTACTTCCTTTGGTTGTATGAAAATCAGGGGGTGTCAGGCTCCCCATCACAAGCTATTTCTTCTGTTATTTCACCTGTTTGATGCGAGCTTTACTCCTATTATGAACATTTTCTTTTCTTTGCCTCACTTTTATCTTTGTTGACTGGAGACAAGGAGACACTCAGATGGACTGACTAGCAGACAAGTAGTATCCAAGAACCAATAGATTTTGAAAGCAGTGACAGTTGGTCACTGACCATGATGGGTACCCATTTGATATGGGCTGCAAAGCCAATGGTGAGGTTTGCAATTTATATAAGGACATTTAATATACCAAGGTGAGTAAAGATTGAGCTGTTCTCTTGAGGGAATGAAACTGTTAGTTAAATCATGATAACTAAATCATGATATGCTGGTCAAGACTTTGCAAAACAAAGATTGCTGTGATCAACTGCTGTTATATTGTGCAGACTGCATATGAACTCTACCGTGATTATTGTTTGGTTGAGTATAGTCATGTGTAGACAGGTTCATCTTGCTAAAGCTTCTTAGAGCTGACTTGCAGGATACAAGCATTTACTTTGTTTTTCCTATCAGAACAGGTTGCATGTTCTGTGGTAAAGAGTGTCTTCCAATTCCCAGTGCTTAGTATCTTCCATTGCAAATTGCCTGGCAGGAGTCTAAGTTGCTTTGTTCTTAGTTAAGGCTTTGGCTAAGAGAGGCTTCAGATCTTTGTAGGTACCAAATAGGAACTGGGAGCATCATGAACTATATACTATCTCCAAAAATGTATCATCTAAAAGTGATAATGTTCATTTTGATAAAGTCATACAATCTTTTTCAAAGAGTAGAAAATTGAAATTCACAATATCCAAAGAATTAACCTGAGGAACACTTATTTGGACAGGACTGAGGTTACAGACAGATATTTCAGATTGTCTCTTTGCTAATGAGATAATCAGATTGAGCTCAAGATGCGGGTATTCAAAGTCGAGGAGTCTGTGTACTGTGAATTTTGAGAGGAGCCAAGATGAAGCTAAGAAGTTGCAAGCCCTAGAGATCATAACTCAGTCCAACAGGAGCTCTGAGGCAATCTGGCATTCTAGATGGCTCTAGCCCTTCATGACTGCTTCCTTAGCCCTGTTTGTGCTCCTAATCCTGGGACGCCTAATAGAGATGACTTTTAAACTGGGCCTTGAAGGCAGCGTAGGCCATGGTTGTCAGAACAGGATGATAAATTGAGGGGTAGAGGAGAAATAAGTACAGCCAATGTAGAGAGTACTCAAGTGCTAGGGAAAAAGCAAGGCTCTGGCCTTCTAGGAGGGAAGAAGAGCCGTAGGACTAGGTCTAATGATCGCCTCTTGTTGTTACCATTCTGGTTTTGATGCTGATCTATTTTTAACCACGACTATATTAAACTCAATAAATCCTCCACTGTATATTCAGATGACTGTCCTTAACGTGCCCTGTCTCATGGATTTCTGTGTTATTATTGCCTGACACTTAAATCTACCTACACACAAAGACTACTTAGAATTTCTATATACCTGAGCTACTTGAAAGTCTCATGTTAACCCAACTGTGATCCAAATGTTCTCTAACAATTGAAGTTAGAATAAAAAAAATAAGTCAAGTGGGAAGCATTTGAGCCTATCTGTCTCAGCACATTTGGGGATGTTTGGTAAATAGAGTTAATGCAAAATGGTCAATATTTGTTTGATACAGTCATAGCAGGGATAGGAAGAGCACACCAAGTCAGTTATAGCCAAATGGCCACATTACACGGAAATATTCCAGGCAAAAGCTTTCAAATCAATGGTCTATACTTACAGACATACTGTTTACCTAATAACTGAGCGTGGATGCTTTGCCTAGACACTGGTGTTGTATAGATTCACCTTTAGCATTGGACCATTGTCTTACCAATTTCCTAAGAACAGTGTCTTTTGGGCAGTGTCTTACCAGTTTCCTAAGAACAATGCTGAAGGTGTCTTGGCTGCCACACAATTGCCATATTGTGTCCTTGGCACAAGCAGGCTACATTTATTCCTTCATGACTTGTGAGTGGTTTTTCCTCTAACATTGTTCACATTGTAAGTGATGGTATGTGGCAGTTAGCTCCTACAAGATGGGGAGTGTGCTCCAACAGATGGCAAAAATTTTGCTATTTACCCAGCATTATAATCTTTCCATGTGACTATTCCTGATTTGGGGAAGATATATTAAGAGGTTTAAGAATCTTTCAATTACCTGAACTATTTATAACACAAACATTTGTTTTTAATCTTAGGGCAATACTCTTTCTTCAGCGAGACCAACCAATGTATTAGAAATGATGAAAGAATGGAAAAATAACCCAGAAAGTGATGAGGACAGAAAGACGGATGAGGAGACTGAGCAGCCCACTAAAGAAAAGTTGAACAGTAACCAAATAGGGGGAAAGACCCGGGTTGTCAACCACAGTCCATCTGCAAAGACAGCAAAGCAGGTAGGAGGAATGGCTGAGGCAGGGCACCAGGCTCTGGCACTCTCACTCATGGTACACTTTGTGGCAGCTCCATCATTTCACTGTTAGTAACAAAGGCCTGCACCAATCGACAGTTGAGGTCCTCCTTCTAAGCCCTGAGATTTAGCATTGGGGCTTCATTCTTAGAACTGGAGTAGAGCTGTCAGACCCTTCTCTGTGAGAGAACACATTCAGACTGAACATCCCTAACCTGAGCATCTAGAAATTTCAGATGAAGGACCTCAAACTGTAGTAAGTGCTGTAGGTCTGTTAGCCTCTGTTGTAGCTGCTTGGCTCTGACGTTGCTGCCCCGACACTGCCACAGCCAGCAAATGAGTGACCACAACTGCATCCAGCTCAGCCTTTTCTGAGGAAGCTGATAGAATGCCAGACTTGACCCATGGCTCCAAATTCATAATTTTTATACTCTACCCAGCTACAGAATTTAGAATTGGTTTATATACTGTATCCAAAAGGTAATTATTATACCAGCCAGTTATTTGTATATTGTTTCATAGAAACCTAAACTACATAGGTTTGCCATGTTACCTGACTAGATCTGAACAGTTTCATGTCTGTAATATAGTCTTGTTAACATTCTGATTCTAGGCTGTAGTCTGTTAACTGAATATCCCAAAGGTTTGCCCAAGCAACCCCTTCCCTGATTTTTATGTAGGTCAGTATAAGTTTGTTTCTGTTTGGGTTTCTATCCTGTGTCTTGTGTGCTAGCTCTTATTTAAACTCTGAATCCTGTGCTCAACAGTCCAGGTTTCTTCATTTGTTGTTGCCTTCCAGTTCCCTGTAGGCAGCAGGTAGGCAGAGCACAAGGGTGAGCCCTGAGCCATGCCGGGAAATGTGCAGAACTTCTGGAGCCACTCTTAGTCAAGATTCCTGCCAGAACCTTGGGAGAAGGCATCTGAGAGAATAACCTGTTGGCTGAGAGGTTCTGCATCTACTGAATAGTAAAAGCCTAGATTAAAAGCTTAACATTGTGACTTAGATTGCATGAAAGAACCACACCTTTACCATAATGTAAACATAAGATCATTGAATTTTCTTCTTGTCTCCTCTGATAACTACTACATTGTTTAGCACAATGCATATTTTATTTTATATTTTCTTTAAAAATAATATCCTAAACCCATGTTTACTTTTTTTGTTGAACATAGTTTGAAAATTTTCTGTTGGCTGACATAGCAGCATGCATATATATACATACATATATACATATATACATATATATATAACACAGTATGTATGCATGTTTGTATAATGCATATGTACATGCATCTATGTGTGCACATATATAAATATACACATAGGTAGTGCTGGGTTATATCAATCAATGTGACATAAAATCTCCTCCTAGATCAATATACTCGCTCTCCTTTTCCTCTGCTCTGCCGTTTTCTTTCTCTATGCCAGACATCCTGAAAATCACTGGTGAAAGTGATCTGCTCTGGTCTTGGATACTTCATGTAAGGAAGAAAAGGACTAATATGAGAGTTCTGTCATGTAATAAAAGGGGTCTTGTTAGAATTATACCACCCTCCTCCTCTCTCAAGGAAACATGCTGTATACTCCACCCTCAAGTTTTCAGGATTCAATGCTTCTCCAGGGGGAAGAGAAAACCAGGAAATCAGCCACTCCCAGACATCCTGAAACACCGCAGGGGAGCCCCCTCCATTCTCAGTTCACTGTGAGCTTAGAGAAAAAAAGAGCAGCCAGAGAGGAACTAACAAAGAGGCAAGTCCACTGAAGAGACCAGAACACTACGGACATGGAACTTTATCATGCCTGCTGCTAGGCAGTTAGTCACCCTAAAAGCAGACTCACTAAGGAAACAGCAAGACTACCACAATGTCAAGAAAAGCACTCTGTGCCCAGCTGGATTAGTGGCAGTTGCCCACCCAGCAGCTCAGCCTAACTACAGAGCATAACCCTAGAAAGCAGAATAAAGCCAGTTGCCACAACTGAATTCAAAACAAAGGCAGCAGCCTAGCCATCTAGAGATCTTAAAAGCAAGCTTGGTTGGCCAATGACTTTGTCAGCATGGGTGACCACCATCATAATATAAAGTAAAGGCCGTTGTTTTCAAAGTGTTCACAGAAGCCAAAGTAGCTGCTTCTGCAAATATGAAAGTCCAATGACAGAACACAGGATTACAAAGACAGATAGTGGCATGCCTTTAATCCCAGTTCTTGGGAAGCAGAGACAGGTGGATCTTTGAGTTCAAGGCCAGCCTGGGTACAAAGATTTCCATACAGTCAGAGCTTCATAGAGAAGCCCTGTCTCAAAAAAACAAAACAAAAACCAAACAAATAAACAAAGACTGTAGATTATCACAACCTTCAATAAAACCACAGCAATAGACACAAAAGAAAGGGAGAACTGTGGCATATCAGGAAAGAGAATTCACAATAATTCTCTTAAAAATTCATAGAACCCCAACAATTTATATACATAAAAGATTAAATGAAATTTAAAAACAATGTATGACTCCCTTTGCCTTGTCTGGCCTCAGTGGAAGCGGATGCATCTAGTCCTTCTACAACTTGATGTGTCATGGGGGGTTAGAACCCATGGGGAGCCTTTCCTTCTCAGAGAAGGGGAGCAAGGAATGGGGGTAGGGTGTGTGTGAGGGTGAGACTGGGAGGAGAGGAGGGAGGGGGCTGCGATGGGGATGTAAAGTGAATAAGTCAATGAACAAAAAGATGAGGAATGGTGAGATTAAAGACAGAACATTTGAAATTGCTCAGTCTAATATCAAAGAGAAGGGCTGTGTTATAAAGAAAGCTTACAGGAACTGTGAGACACCTAATCTATGTTTAATAGGAATTAAAGTAAGTGAGGAGGAATAAATAGAGCCAGAAAGCATATTTAATAAATATAGGATGAGGACAGGTTTGATGGTTGCATGTGCTTAACTCAACACTCATGAAGCAGAGACAGATGGATCTCGTGAGTACAAGGCCAGTCTAGTCTTTATTATCGTGTTTCAGCCCAGCTAGGTCTACATATCAAGACTCTGTCTCAAAGATCAATTGATAAAATATTAAGGAAAAAATTCCCTAATCTGAGAAAAAAAGCCATAATCCAGTCAAAGGAAATTCACATATTTGAACTCAAATAGAACCCAAGAGGAGCTTCCCATGTCACATAAGAAGACACACCAAAAATCATAACAAAGAAAAATCCCTCAGAGGATCAATATAGAGAAGTCATGTCAAACAATCACCTAACTCTGCAGGCCAGGAGAGAAAGAGTGATACTGTCAAATGCTGAAAGAGAAAACTGACAGCCAAGAATGCCATACCTGGAAAAACTATAATTTAGAAATGAAAGAGAGAAAGACTCTCCTAGACAAATGAAAGCTAAGAGAGTTCATTAACATCAGTTAAATCATGTCTTACAAAAATGCCAAAGGGAAGTCTTCAAATTAAAAGGATACTAATGTTCAATATAAAACTTTCTAAAGATAAAAAATTCACAGGTTCAAAGTAAAATTCTACATACCCCCACACCTGAAAACCCCAATCAGCCAACCTGTCCTCTATACCATGAATGTAAGATGAACCACTTATATTCCAGAAGGGACTATTAGAAGACAAAGAACATATAATTACAATAACCTTTTAATAGTATCAAAGAGATGAAAATTGAGGCATCAGAAATTGAAAATATAAGAGGGGCAGCAATAAAGCGAAAGTGTAGGCTATTTTTTTCTATGACTGATGTTAAAGTTGTTACTTGTTTAAATTAACCGATTGTAACTATAAGATGTTTTGTATATTACTTTTTGCATTGCTTTGAGTAGATGCCTGACAGACGTAAAGAGAGCTTTATTTTGGTTCCTGTCCTTCATGGCAGGGAAGGTATAGCAGCTGAGGAGACTTTGCTGCTAGCAGTGGGACCTGGTCAGACCATAGCAGAATTTAGAAAGTAGACAGAGTTGGAACAACACCAGAGGAGGATAAAACCCTCAAGGCTGCGCCTTTAATAGCCTACTTTCATCAGTGGGGCTCAGTACTTGCCTAGAACAGCGTCACCACCCAGGGACCAAGTAAGTTTCTAAACAAATAAGCCTGCAGGGAACATTTCAGACCAAACCATAACAGATGTGTTTGATAAGCCCCATTGTAACCACAGAATAACAAGCTAAAATAAATATAATATAAAATTAAAAAAGAACTAGAGTATGGTGCTAAAATCACTCACCTGCAAAAGAAGTAGCTGATAGAGGAAGAAAAATGCAGTCTATAAAAATGTAGAAATCTAATTGTAAAATAGCAGAAGTTTCTCCTACCAAGTTACCTTGAATGTAAGTAAATTAAGTTCTCCAATGAAAAGGCCTATGGCAGATTGAATTAACACACACACACACACACACACACACACACACACACACACACACACA